TCCTGTGGGAAGTCAGAACGCTAGGTAACCTGGGTACCCCATCTCTGCTTTGTGCTGCACATCAGAGCTTGGCTTCTCATCTTTAGTATCCCTCTTGGTTTTTTACTTTCCTGAGCTCATGGACTTAAACAAGTCTATTACCATGTGAGGGGCTGGGGGAGCCATTGGTTCTGAAATCCCTTCAGGTACTGAGACTCTTTGAGTCTTGAGACACCCTGTGTGTGTGGTGCTCATGACAGTGCTGTGGGCTGTGCCCCAATTGGGCCTTGACCGAATCCTCTTGGCTCCCCTGCTCACCCTCCATCTGGGCCTAGCAAGACTTGTACTCCCTCCATGCTCAGTTTCAAAGAAAGCTTCAGTTACTTGCTGGGCCCCTTGATGGAGATGCTGAGTGAAATCTAGCCTCTGGAATGAAACTATTGTCCCTAGGCTCTACAGTTCTGTCTGCCCCTTCCCCCACCCTTTCCAAGTTCTATTCCCTGAAATCCAAGAGCTATCCTAGATTCCAAGTTCCAGTCCTGAACTTAAGGTTTCCACACCTATTCCCACTTGATAGCCCACCCCTTGAAGCCTGAGGCTACATCCTTTTAGGTCCTAGATGCCCACCACCCCAAACTCTATCTCTCCTGAATTCCAAGCTCTATTTCCTAGATTCCAAGCTTCCCCCCCTGCCTCATGCACTTTAGGCATGATTCTCAGGATATGATATTCAGCTCCCTGGCCTGGAGCCCACACAAAGACTCAAGATTTAGTATCCCTTAAGCCAGGATTCCACTCCTCTAACTAAAGACCCTTCAATTTAATCTAGAGAAAGGTTTGAGACCCTGGGGGAGGAATCAGGCCTGTCCAAACAATAGGCCCCTTTCTACCTATTTTTCTTTTTCTTTTCTTTTCTTTTTTTTTTTTGTGAGGGAATTGGGATTAAGTGACTTGCCCAGAGTCACACAGCTCGTGAGTGTTATGTGTCTGAGGACAGATTTGAACTCAGGTGCTCCTGACTTAGGGCCGGTGCTCTATCCACTGTGCCATCTAGCTGCCTCCCTGCCTATTTTTCTTTCCAAATCTTAGGGGAAGAAGTTGGCTGTGATCATTCTCCTACCACTCACCCCACCCCCATACTCAGGGACCCCTCCTTTTCCTTTATATCTTTACCTACCCCAGAGTTAGCCTGGAAACAAAGGCTTTTCAGCCTTCAGATTGAAGTACCTTTCCTTAGCTCCCTGTCTGCCATTCTTCAGCCCTTCTCTCAGTGTCCTCGAGGTTCTTTCTGGAATTTCTCCCTCACCACTTATGCTCTATGTCCTCAGAGCAGATGTTGGGAGGGTCAGGCAGGGACCTCTCCACTCCCCACCTCAGTGACTTCACGTTTCCCAGAGAACATAATAAGAAGCTGGCAAATAAATCCAACCACTATGCCTTTTCTTAAAAAAAAAAAAAAGTTTAGAAACCAATGACCACTATGTACTTTTCCCCTCCCCCCATTTAATAGTATTTTATTTTTCCAATTATACATACAGATAGTGTTCAATATTCACTTTTACAAGATTTTGAGTCTCAAATTTTTTTCTCCCTCCCCTCCCTTCTTCCCAAAATGGCAAGCAATCTGACATAGGCCATACATATATAATCATATTAAACATATTTCCACATTAGACATGTTGTGAAGAAAGAACTAAAACAAAAGGGAAAAACCAAGAAAAAGAAAAAAGAAAGAGAAAATAGTATGCTTCAAATTGCATTCAGATTCCATAGCTCTTTCTCTGGATTTGGATAGCATTTTCCCATGAGTCTTTTGGAGTTATTTTAGATCATTGTATTGCTGAGAATATCAAAGACTTTAAAAGTTAGTCATCACACAGTGTTGCTGTTACTGTGTATAATGTTCTCCTGGTTCTGCTCACTTCACTCAGCATCAGATCACATAAGTCTTTCCAGGTTTTTCTGAAATCTGCATGCTATTATTTCCTATAGAACAATAGTATTCCATTATATACATATGCCACAACTTGTTTAGCCATTCCCTAATTGGTGGGAATCCTTTCAGTTTCCAGTTCTTTACCACTATAAAAAGTGGGTTCTTTTCCCTGTTTTATGATCTCTTTGGGATATAGACCTAGTAGAGGTATTGCTGGATCAAAGAGTTTTCACAGTTTTATAACCCTTTGGGCATAGTTTCAAGTTTTTCTCCAGAACAAGAAGGGACAGCAATACGTAATGTCTGTGAAATTGGGCCAGGGCAAGATTATGGAGGCCACTAAAGCACTTTGTATTTTATCAATTTGGCAACCCTGTGGAAGACAGAAGGGAGAGAAGATAGATGTGATAAAGAGAATCAATTAGGAGAGTAATGTGATAGTGTGGGCAAGAGATGTTAAGTATACAAGCAAAGGTGGTAGTCATGTGAATGGAGAAAAGGAGACAGATGGTGGAAGCATAGTGGAAGTGGAGTTGAAAAAATTGGCAACAGATTGGACATGAGGTGCAAACAACAGTAAAGAGTTGGAATCTGTGACAGTTATTTGGATTATGTGTGATACTTGGGCAACTGGGTATAGACTCTACAAAGCAAATAGTCTAGATCAGCTTATTGGTTGCTTTTCTTAATTTTAAGGAAAAACAGTATGGAGCTGTAATAATTATTCTACTACAAGTGACTGTCATATTGAATGTGTCCACCAGGAAGCAGCCTACTCAAGCCACAGATTAAGGTGGCTGAATAGTTTAAAATCCATGCTGACCCGGTTCTGAAATTAAAGCAGGAGATGATTTTTCAAATGTACCCATTCCCAGATTATGGAATAGGAAAAAGGGGAAAGAGGTGTGTATTTTCAGCACTATGAATTATGTATCTGACTCCAATAGAAACAATAACCACAGCCAGGACCAATGATGTGAACCTATTTTTTAAACTTTTCATGAAACATCCAATGATTTCCCAAATTTGATAAGACCTTACCTGATACAAGCTGCTCCATTAGGGTCCAGTGTATGTGCATCTCCATAGGTCCATGGGATACCTGTGAAGTGATACTTCATTTAGCTGTTGAGGCTACTATGAACACCTCTGGGTAAGTCCCCATTCTAGTAATGTATCTTTGATTTGGTCATATTGTAGAATACAATGTGCCAAGTCTGACTCATTATCCCACAAATGAGCCCTAACCTCCCTATTTCTGTCAAGGTCAAGGACATCAATATCATTCTAGTCACCCAGTTTCACAACTTGTGCTCAACCAGTTCCTTAAACTGTGCCCATGTCATACCTTCTTGTCTTTTTGAATTATTATTATTATTACACTGAATCTAGAATGCTTATGATGATAACGATTTAACAAAGGCAACTGGTAATATGGTTTATCACTCTATTTGAGGAGGATCCAAACATACAAGATGGTGTTTTCCAAAGCCACAATGTTTGAAGACTCAGATGGAAGAGATCCAACACAGTAGGGCAAGTCCAGGGTGGCAGGAATGGGCAGTTAATGAAAATCCCCATTAATTAGTGACTAAGAAGTTTTTTCCAAGATTAAAAATGAGAGTGATCTGGGCATGTTTGTATCTGGGAAGGAATCGGTAAACAGCAAAAGATTACCCTTGCCCTTGCTACCTTTTGACCCCTTGATACCTTAGTGAAGAGTTTTGATTTGGTCACAGCTTAACTGATCTCTTGGACTCAGGTCTATAAAAGGGAGAAGACAGATGTGCTTTAGGGATGAGAGAAGAAGAGCTGAGCCAGAGGCCAGAGCTAAGAGAGAGTAAAGAAGGACTCTTCATGGGCAGATTTGATTCTATGTGGGAAGAAGTCTAGGCATCATCACAGCACCTCAGACAGCCCCTCAGGCCTGAGGACAGAAGATAGGAAGAAGCTTTGGCAAGTGGCCTAGGAGTTACTGGAGGGAGGAACATTTGGCTTCAAGACAGAAAACAATTTCTCTTCCAACTCTCACCAGGAACTCCTTGTCCTCTCTATTTCTATTCCACCCCTAGCTCCCTGGGGGACTGTGTACATGTATAGGCTGTAACCCTCAGAAATATGACTCCTCTCTGTAATATTTTTTTTTAGCTTTTTCAAACACTAGTCATTGGATCACCTCTGGTCCTCTGAGCTATGTCAGATCTATCTGGTCCCTTTTATAGGGTGGGGTCCAAGAATATGGTTCAATCTATGACAAATATAACTCCATCAACCATCTTAAAGGAGGTGTTAATGGATCATTTGGCACCAAGGCCAAGAAAGTACCTCCTACATCTTCATTAGGAGATATTATCAACCTCCCAAACAAAAATTTAGAACTATACCGGAGGTGGAGAAGAACCTGCAGCCTCGAGGCCACATGTGGCCTTCTAGGTCCTTGGGTGCAACCTTTTTCTCTGAGTTCAAGTTTTACTTATGATAATCCTTTAAGATCATTTGAGCCCCAATAAGGGCCCAAAACCTGAATTTATCTTTTCTCTCTGAGTGAACTAAAAATGTCCCTTCCTGTGTCAGCAGCTACAGGACCAGATGAAACTGACCAGCATTCTTCCTGTTTGTGATCACTAAAGACAGGATGACTGGGACCAGACACTCTCTTGAATAATGGGACTTTTCTTATCTTGGTATCCTAAGGACATATATCATGTAGGGGAAACACAGATATCCTGAGACTATAATTCTAATCGACACTTTGTTACTTTTCTTGTTTTATTGTATATACAACCTATTCAAATAAGAAACTTCCTTTCTCATGCTATATGTTAAAAACATATGGAGGCTATATATTTTTTGAATAACACAGACATCCTGAGTCAGCGCTTAAATGTCCTCTTAAAACTGCTTGAGTCAGTCAGAGTTAAAGCTCTGGCTTCATGTTACATGTCCCTAACTTAAAGGAATAAGTAATGTAAATTTACTTACCATCTAGCTTGTTGACTCTTTAACCAACTTTCAGGTCTACACTTAACAAATCCTCTTATTAAGGGGATTTGTTCTGTGACGTTTGGATCCAGTGAAACAGCCACACTTGAGGACCTAGAGGGCCACCTGTGACCTTGAGGCCACAGGTTCCCCACCCCTGAAAACAAAAAGAAGAAACAGGGGAGTAGTTTGGGAAACATCACAATCCTGGCACAGTCATGATTTCATGGACTTCAATTACCCAGACATCTACATCTGACTCCTCTAGAGAAGGGTAATGAAGAACCTTAACCATGACATTTGAGGATTAGTTGAAGACATTTAGTTTCTTTATCCTGAAGGAGAGGACTCAGGGAACACATAGACTTTTTAAAGCATTTGAAAGGCAGTCATGTGCAGGAGGTGTTTGTCCCCAAAAGGATGAAATAGGAGCAATATGTTGCAATGAGATAATTTTGGCTTGAAGGCAAGGTAAACCTACTGTTAGTTTTCCAAAAGTGGAATGGGCTGCTGTAAGCAAGGTGGATTTTGTTATTCATTTATCTAATACTTGTTCCCAGGATCCATGACCGTAACAATCAACTAGTTCCCAGGATTTCATACTGTAAACAATTTCTACTGCCTCTGCACAGTGGTAAGTCATCAGCATGTTGCTACAGTTAATGTAAACTTGTGAGACTATTGTTGACAAATTGCCTTCTTTGTGTGCTTCTCTATAAATCAAGTGAGTACTGCTCAGTGAGTGGATATTTGGGGAACATGCCAGCTGAATGCTGTGCATACCTTGACCTGCCCCCATCAAGGCTGGGGGTAATGTGAGAGTGTAATGTTGTTTGCCTCAACAGACCCCCGTTGAGGCTTGGGGAGAATGCACAAGCTGGAATGCTTTGCTGCCTCGATTAGCCCCCATCAAGGCTTAAGGGAATGAGATAGGAGTTGTGCTCCCAAGTAGGGGTTGTTGCCCCATTCTCACTGACCCCTACAAGAAGAGTAATTAGGGGTTGCTGTACGAGTTGGTGCTCCCATTATCAGCAACTCCATTAAGAAGAATGGAATAAATTATTTAATCCCTCATTATGTCTCAGTTCCTATCCTTCTGGCTGTCTAGATCAAGAGTGAAACTGCTAGAAGGTAGTGATTTTTCCCCTCTTTGGAACTCTTCAAGCAGAGTCTTAAAGCTGGTCCAAGGCTGAAGAGCAATGGATTAAAGCTAGACCATTTCCAAGTTACTCCTTTTTCTGTTAGAACAAAGAAAATTGAGAAAACAATAGTAATTGTGATTCTTTCAGTAAAAGGGTCAGAGTGACCAAGAAAGTACAAATCCATTGTAGTATGGAGATAAAGAAGGAAAAATTGAGCATTTAGGCATATATCCATTAGAATCTTTCAGGCTGACTTTCTAGGAGCAAGGGTAAAGGCGTGTTCAGATTTGGGACCTGGAAAATGGGAATAGATCAGCAATAAAGCAATCAACCAACAAGCGTTTATTAAGCAAGTATAGCCAAAGGACCTGGATTCTAATTGTAGGAGCACTAGAATAATAAAAACAATAATGTGGTAGCAAAAATAGCTTTTCTTTGAGTTAATATAAGCTCATATTTCCAACAGCAGAGAGGAAAATCCAGTAAAAACCCTGCCAATCAGTTCCTGGAGGGGAATTTTGAGGCTTCAATAAACCTGATTTAGGGTGGTCTCTTTAATGCAAACTTCCCCTGAGAATGCAATCTAGAGACTTATATAGGTCTCTAGGCTGTTAAGGATAAGGGAATTCAACTGGATAGATTTATTCTACTACCTAGCTGGACAAGTGCATACAATTCTTTTGGCTGGGGGTTGAGAGTAGGGTTGTGTTATACAGTGGTAGTGATTGAACTGAAACTAAGAGCCTCTTTATTCAGTTTTTTTTTTCATATATAGTCTTCAGCAAATTCCTTGTCTCCTAAAATGTCAACTCTACACCAGGCACTGTGGATACAAAGACAAAAATAGAATAATCTCTATTCTTAGGGAGCTTACATTCTACTTGGGGAGACAGAATGCACATATATATGTGAATACATCAAATAAATGCAAAATAAATTCAAGGTAGGGTAGACACTAGTATTTAGGGGTTTCAGGAAAGGCGTCATGTGGAAAACGGTGTTTGAGTTGAGTCTTAAAGGGAGTAGGGGACTCTACAAAGCACAAGTGAGGGGGCAGTAAATCCGGGCATTGAGGATAGCCAATGTGAAGGCACTGACAGGGGACATGGAACATTAGAGTGCGGAGAGAGGAGCGCAGTATAATGAGGCTGGAAAAGTAGGCTGGAGGCAGGTTGTAAAGGGTTTTAAAAGCCAAACAAGCATGTGTGTATGTGGATGTGTGTGTGTGTGTGTGTGTGTGTGTGTGTGTGTGTGCATGTGTATGTGTTTTCCTAATGGCAATAGGAAACCACCAAATTCTACTGAGCAGGGGTATGACATGGTCAGTCAGATCTATGCTTAAAGAAAGTCTCTTTTATGGCTATATGGAGGATGGACTGAAGTGGGGAGGAGACTTACAGCAAGGGATACAATTAGGAGGCCATTGCAATAGTATAGGTTGGAGGTGATGAGGGACTGAACTAAGTGGCTGTGTGATTTGTGAGAAGTGGATGGATGTTGAGTAGATAGATATGGCAAGATTTGGCAAATAATTACATACGCTGGGGAGGGGGAAGAGAAGAGTCAAGGAAGATATTGAGGTTGTGAACCTGAGACTGAAAAAATGATTGTGCCTTTAATAAAAATAGAGAAGTTTAGAAAAAATTATGGATTTGGGGGAGAAAGATAACAAATTTTGTTTTGGGGCATATTGAGTTTGAGATGCCTATAGCAGGGCTTCTTGAACTTTTTCCTCTCATGACCCCTTTTCGTGTTTCGGCAGCTTTCCTTGGTGTTGCGTGGCCAGAGGGCATGCCCAGTGCAAAGTGCACATGCTGTGTGTTCAGAACCAAGGCTGCAGTGAAGTTGCACAATGCAGAACAGGCAAGCACTGCCAAAACCCCTCAGACTCATTACCTGTTTGATTTTGAATTGATTTTTGGTTGTTACACGTTCAGAAACCTTTTACTGCCAAATTTTTTGCCATCCCATGTGGTTGTGACCCACAGTGTAAGAAGTACTGGCTTATAGGACATACAGTTTGAAATGTCTAATAGGCAGTTTGTGATTTGGACTGAAGTTCTGAAAAGACTAGGGCTGGATATATAGATATGGAAGTAGATTTCCTAGATATGAAAATTAAAACCATGGGAGCTGATGAGGTCACCAAACAAGAACGTATAGAGTGAGAAGAGGGACCACTACAGAGGGGGCTACATCCATAGTTAGGTAATGTATGGATGATGAGCCTGAAAAAAAAAAAACTGAGACGGGTAAGGAGAGAACCAAAATAAATGTGTCATAAAAACCCAAAGAAGAGAGAGTACCTAGGAGGAGAGAATGTTAGACAGGATCAAATTTCTGCAAAAAGGCCAAGAAGGATGAGGCTTGAGAGAAGACCATCATATTTGACAATTAAGAGAGCAATGGAAACTTGGAAGAGAGATTATTTAGTTAAGTAATGAAACAGCGAGGTTCCCTGAGGAAGAGACAAGGTGCAGCATGTGCAAGTCAAATCAAACTACCACCTCTAACAACTTCAATGGAAACAACTCAGTAGTCAGATCCCAAGATCCCTAAGGATAAGGATACTCCTTATATTGCTGGCATTGCTCTGTCAGCCATTATTCAGGAAAGCAAGCTCTGGATGCAATCTGGCAAATGCTTCCATAGGTGCTGCAATCCTTGACTCCTTGGCTACCGAAGACCTGGAAAATAAAGTTCTTGACACCAAAAGTCCATAGCGCTGTCAAATGGTTCAACATCAAAAGCACATATGGTTTTATCAGTGGAATTGACATTAAATATGTGGAGTTTTTGGCTGAGGAGTTTGGCTGAGGAAGGGAGGAGAGGTTATAAGATGATAGCTTGAGCATAGGGATGGGACTAGTGAAGGTTTTTTAAAGATGGAGGAGAGTTGGGCATGCTTGTAAAGCAGCACGGAAGGAACCTGTAAAATAATGAGAGATTAAAGAATAGAGAAGTAATAGAAATGATTGAGAAAGTAATCTGTTGGAGAATACATGAGGGGGGGAATGGGGAAATGAAAGGAACCCATGGAAAAGGGCCATCTCTTCATCAGATACTGAAGTAAAGAAATGAGAGTGGGAGATGATGCTAAGGTGTTGTGAAATGGAGAGGTGTTGTGAAGAAGAGGGAGCTTTAGGTGAACAGTCTCTCTTTTCTCAGTAAAATACAAGGTAGACAAATAGCAGTTTCTCCATCTCTTCCTACCTAGTTAGTGTTTAACAGCTCCAACTTCTCTAACTATCCCAGACAACTTGGTTGTACTTTATTTTGTTGGTGAATCCATTCCAAATTGAGGAGTGAAGTACAATTAATTTACCAGAAAGTAGTGGGTTACAGTGCTAAAATGGAAAATCTTACTGTTACTCAAGGGCGAAAAGGTATCAGTCATGTCAGGAGTTCAGCAGTCCCTCAGTGACCTCTCTCCCAGATGATTTATTCCTCATCTCACTTCCCTGTGGTGATTTGTTGGGAGAGGGATGACAAGATTATAGAAGACTACTGAGTTTTTTGTTTAGTATGTTGTTTACCTAGGAAACTAAAGGACTGAATCTTCCAGCCAGTCTTATTTCAGAAGTACATGTTACCATATGGTTTCTTTTTAGTAATGGAGAGAGATGATGGTGGGCCCATAGTTGTACTTAAGAATTCTGACTAGACTCTGCAGAGTCATAAGGGTGAAATGTTGTTGTTCTGTCATTTCAGTTATGTCTGACTCTTCATGACCCCATTTGGGGTTTGGTTGGCAAAGATACTGGAATGATTTGCCATTTCCTTCTCCAGCTCATTTTACAGATGAGGAAAATGAGACACACAGGGTTAAGTGACTTGCTTACAGTCATGTAGCTAGTAAATATCTGAGACCAGATTTTCACTCACATCTTCCTGACTGCAGGCTCTATTCACTGCCACCGCTTCTAACTGAAGTAATTTAGGGTTTAATCCTGACTGCAGGCTTGGTTCTCTATTCACCACCACCATTTCTAACTGAAATAATTTAGGGTTTAATCAACTGTCTACAATGAGAGCGGAAGACACTACCAAGTAAAGCAAGGAATACTCCTTCCTATGAATGATCTGCTTCTTCAGACCTGTTTCGTTCCCTTCTTCTTTGAAAAAAAATCATCTCTTTTGCTTTTATATCACATTTTCCTCCAAATATTTCTGTCTTCTTCTCTTCCTCCAGAGACCCAACTTTTGTAACAAAGGATGAAAATGAGAGAAAAAAATTCAGTTCAGCAAAATTAATGAACACCTCAAGTGAGCTTGACAGTACATGTTTAGTGTTCCACATTTAAAATCTGTCAAGAAAAGAGGGAGATGTATTTTCTTATTTCTTCAGGGTCAAGCTTGGTGATCATAATTATGTAGCATTAATTTTCCTTTCTGTTATTCATCTTTCCATTTATATCATTGTAGTCATTGTTTTCTGGGTTCTGCGTACTTCAGTTTGTGTCAGTTAATATGCCTTCCATGCTTCTGTTCAGAGTTAATATTCATAGTTTCTTACAGCATAATAACATTACATTATATTCATGTGCCACAATTTGTTCCATAAATGATGGACATCTACTTTGTTTCTGATTATTTGTTACTACAAAAAAGCACTGCTATAAGTATTTTGCTGTGTTTGGGACCTTTCTTTCTATCTTTGGTGGTTCCTTTCTAAAAGTCTGAGGCACATGTCTCCCTTTTCCAATTCTCAGGAAGCTGATCTCTGGTTATAGTAAACTTCAATGAGTAAACTGATTCAGATCTATACATATTCTGATTACTTATATAAATGCCATATCTGCATTTATTCTATCAGTCAATCAAATAATCAGCAAGCATTTATTTAGCTCCTAATATGTGCCAGGCTCTGTGCTAGGTTCTGGAGATACAAAGACAAAAGTGGAAGAGTCTCTGTTCCCAAGGAGTTTAAATTCTAGGAAGGGGAAACAATATAAGCATAGACAGATGTGTACAAAATAGAGACAAGATAATTCTGTGAAGGTACTAACATGGAGAGGGGATATTGAGAAAGTCCTTATGTAGGAGGTCATGCTTGCACTATGCCTTGAAGGAAATTTCAAATTCTAAGAGACAGAGATGAGCAGAGAGTGCATTTCAGGGATGGAGAATAGCCAGTGCAAAAATATCTATATATCTAGATATATAGATATATATCTAGATATACGTAGATAGATAGATAGATATAGATATAGATATATGGAAGATGGAGTGCCATATATGAGGAACAGTAAGAAGATCAGTTTGACTTGATCATCGAGTACATGAAGGAAAGTAATGTACAATAAGACTGGATAGGTAGATTGTAGTTAGTTATGAAGGACTTTAATTGATTGTATGAGTGACAGTGTAGAATAAAGGATGACTCTAAGATTGTGAACTTGAGTAACTTTAAGTCAAGTACCATGTCTTATCACCTTTGTATCCCTGTTTGGTGCTCAATAACGTTTCTTGAGTGAATGATGTCCTGTATTACTGACTTATTTTGAATCTACTGCCTTGACTTGACCTAAGCTTCTGTCTCAGGATTCAGCTCAGTAATCTAACTCTAGCTCCTGAGGGCTCCCTTTTCTTCACTATGACTCTAATTCCAATTAATTCCAACAAAATGGCTCAACAGAGCCAGAATTCCTTCCTCTATTGGTCTCTGAGTCTGTTGATAGTGTTGTATATGTGAAAATCACCTCCCCCAAGAAACTGTATGTCAGACTATATTTCAAAGCCAAACAGAAAAAACCCACATCTCTTCTCCCCTTCATGCATTGCAAGATAATAATGATAATAACAAGTGACCATAGTGCTTTAAGATATATTATCTCATTTGATTCTTAAAACAACCTGAAGAAGGCAATTACTATATGTATCATTAGTCTTTTTTTTTTGTGAGGCAGTTGGGATTAAGTGACTTGCCTAGGGTCATACAGCTAGTATCAAGTGTCTGAGGCCAGGTTTGAACTCAGGTCTTCCTGACTCCAGGAACGGTGCTCTGTCCACTGCACCACCTAGCTACCTTCCATTAGTCCTTTATTAAAGATGAGGAAACTGAGACTTAGAGGTGAATGATTTCCATGGACAAATAGCTAGAAAGTGTCAAAATAAGGATTTGAGAAACCCCTGTGCTTGGAAACCCCTTTTGAAGGAATCACTCAGGGAGCCTTTGAATGTGCCAAACTCAGCACTCAAAAGTATTTTAAAATAAATATGCTAATGACATCTAGGAATAGGATGCTCCTGCCCCCAGATTTTGTGGAAATGAAGGAGCAGCTGTGAATCAGCCATAATAAAGGACAAGGGGGGATGGAGGTCAAAGTAAAAATTTGCACAAAATCCATCTCTCATGCTAACCGTCAACCAACCCACAACTGTCTTTAACTAAGCAAGACATCTGAGAATAATTAGACACAATAATAATAGTCCTTCTATTGTGCTGGGAAGAATGAATGGTAAATGAGGAAGTGGTGACCTCGACCTGCTGAGGAAGGGGGTCCCACATACTGTACCTGTAGAACGATGAGATCTCAAGAAAGGTGTATCTTTGTAAAGGACAGAAGCCACTTTTGATCACAGGAGGTCTAAAAGAGAAAGAAAAGGGATAACACTATTGAAAAGCTGTCATCCTGTTAAGAAATACATGAGTCAAATGAAAATGACACTGATGCTCCTCCAGTCTCTTTAGATACTTTGGTGAGTCACTTTACTGCTTAGTACATCAGTAACATTTGGAAAACACATCGCAAACCTTAACATGCTATAGAAATCCTAGTTGTTGTTGATATTATTCCCCCATCTCTAAAATAGGGGTGATTTGCCTAGCCAGCTTCTAGTCACTGCTCTTAGTTCTTCACTCTAGGGCCAACCCGAACAAGTCTAATCCCTGTTTTCCATGGCATTCCAGATATTTGAACACAGCTATCATTTCCTCCCTCAGTTTTCTTTTCTCTGAGCTACATAAATGCCCAATTCCTTCAGCTGATCATCACATAACACAGTTTTGAGTCACCTTGCCATCTGGTTACCCGCTTTTGGACATATTGTCATTCATTAATATCACATCCTTCATAGTATATGTCATAACAATTCTCTTCCTCCCACTCCAGCATCAAAGACTTTGGAAAGCTCCAGCACAGAACTGAACCTAATAAGGTGAAATTTGGTAATGATAAATACAAGGTATTAACTTGATTTTTTAAAAAAAGTCAACTTCAGGGGTAGCTAGGTGGCACAGTGGGTAGAGCACTGGCCCTGGAGTCAGGAGGACTTGAGTTCAAATCCAGCCTCAGACACATGATACTCACTAGCTGTGTGACCCTGGGCAAGGCGCTTAACCCCAATTGCCTTGCAAAGAAAAAAAAATCAACTTAATTAGTACAAGATAGAGGAAGTATGATTAGACAGCAATTTTTCTAAAGATCTAAGGTTTTGGCGTATTGCTTTTTTCCCCCACTTAATAGTATTATTTTTTTCCAATTACATGTAAAGCTGGTTTTCAACATTCAGTTTTCTAAGATTTTGAGCTCCAATTTTTTTTCTCCCTCTCTCCCCTCTTTCCTCCCCAAGATGGCATGCAATCTGATATAGGCTATACATGTACGATGACATTAAACATATTTCCACATTAGTCATGTTGTGAAAGAAGAATCAGAACAAAAGGAAAAAAACATGAGAAAGAAAAAACAGAAAGAGAGAACAGTATGCTTCGATCTGCATTCAGATTCCATAGTTTTTTCTCTGGATATGGATAGCATTTTCCATCATGAGTCTTTTGGAATTGTCTTAGATCATTGCATTACTGAGAAGAGCTAAGTCTATCAAAGTTGGTCATTGTACAATGTTGCTGTTACTGTGTACAATGTTCTCCTGGTTCTGCTCACTTCAGTCAGCATCAGTTCATGTAAGTCCAAGTTTTTCTGAAATATGTGTGCTCATCATTTCTTATAGCACAATAGTATTGCATTACATTCATATACCACAACTTGTTCAGCCATTCCCAATTGATGGGAATCCCCTCAATTTCCAATTCTTTGCCACCTCAAAAAGAGCTGCTATAAATATTTTCATACATGTGAGTCCTTTTCCCTGTTTTATTATCTCTTTGGGATATAGATGTAGTAGTGGTATTGCTGGATCAAAGGGTATGCACAGTTTTATAGCCCTTAGGGCATAGTTCCAAATTGCTCTCCAGAATGGTTGGATCAGTTTACAATTCCAGGTTTCAGCATATTGTAAACTTGATGAGAGTCAGCATTATGGTGTGACAGTCAAAAATGCTAATTAGAATAGCCAGTTTTTATAGAGAATTTTAAGGTTTGCAAATAATTTTGCATACATCATCTCACTTGATCCTTGCAACAATACTGGAAGGTAAACATTATTATTATTATTATTATCCCCATTTTACAGATGAAGAAATTGAGACAAACAGAGGTTAAGTGACTTGCTGAAGGTCATATAGGTAGTTAGTGTCTAAGGCAGAATTCAGACTCGAGTCTTTCTGACTCCCCCTTCAGTGGCCTATCCTAATCTGATCTTCAGCTTCATGAAGGGAGGGATAATTTCCCAAAAGAAGGTGAGAGTCCTTCTGTACTCTGCATTGTGTTAGAGCATTGTGTTCAGTTCTGCAAGCCACAGTTTTAAAAAAAAATACATTAATCATCTGGAGAGAGTCCAAAGGAGAAAAATCAGGATGATTATAGGATCAAAAATCATACATTCATATATACCCCCAATCTGAAATTAAGTCTTGCCTAAGATCACAGAGGTATAACAGAGACAAAATTAGAATTCAGGTCCTCATCTTTAGAGCTAATATTATTTCCATTCTGAAAGGTCTTGAGGCCATGCACCATAAAGTCTGGTTGAAGAAACTGGGATAAATTAGCTTGAAGAAAAGAAGTCTCCAGGGAGTCATGCTAATTGTCTTAAAGGATCTGAAAACCTATTGTATAAAAGAGGGATTAGACTTGTTCTGTTTGGTTTCAGAGAGCAGAGTTAAGAACAGTAAATGAAAGTTGCAAAACTAATGCAGACTTAATATCAGAAAACAACTTTGTAAAAATTAGAGCTCTTCCAAAATAGAATGGCCTGCCTTGGGAGGTGGTGGAGACCCCCCTCACTGGAAGACTTCCAAAGAAGAAACTGAAGGACCACCTGTTAGGTACATTAAGATAGGGACTCCTTTTAAAGCATAGGTTGGACTAAAGTTTGGGGGGGGGGCTGTTTTTTCTTTCTCCTCTGCTTTTCTATTATGACCAGCCTGCTATGTTATAGGAACACAAGATCCAAAGTACGAAGTGTCTTGTTTAGATTGAGTTTGGGTAGAGAAGACAGCTCTCAAGATAGCCAGAGATGGATTTTCTTCTTGCTTAGATATTTTTCCTATGTGAAACAGAGGAGTTTTCATAGGAGAGCACCAATCCTTTATTTCAACTTAAAACCATTCAGGAACCAGGGAATATTGAGACAAATGATAATAATTATTGGTCCTTATATTTCTATTTTTCCTGACTCAGTCATGACCAGAAGGCAGTTTCCTCCTTTACAACATGAGAGGTTTGGATTAGATGACCCTCTAAGGTATCTATCTTTCCAACTCTAAATCTGTAATCCTAAATAATGAAACTATATGGCATTTAGCCAAAAACTAAAATATCTCAAGATAGCCATATCAAGGAGCAGATCAGTTTCAAATAATTTTATTTCTCCCAGAAAATCTACCAAGAATCATATTAATATCATAACATTAAGAGAGAATGCCCAAAAGATTTGTTAGCTGTGAATATTTTTTTTCCGGTAGAATGAATAATAAAGAAAGGTGAAGTGGTCTTTTAAGATAGAAATTCTCATTTTCCTGGCAGAGTTTACAAGTGTAGGGAAGAACTATATGAACTCACTTGCTGTAATTATCTATAGATGAAGCCTCATGTGTAATGAGGGCTGTTCCTTGCATATATCATGGAATATTGCTGTATGACTCAAAGGGCTAGCCTCTTCTCTCCCACCTTTCTCCAAGGGATACTCTAATTCCTAACAGAAGGAGAAACAGAAGATTGGATCTGAAGGCCACTTTGCTGTCCTCAGAGAGAAGGGATACCTGGTTAGGATTATATCTATCTGCTCCCTTAAATATTGTTAGTCTATAGGATAGGATCAGGTTCAATCTAACTTCTGATTGCCCTGTCATTATTGGGGGGAAACAAGACCCCAAGCTCTATACAAAGCTAGACCTCTTTGCCACCAAATGCCAGTTCCATAATGAACATTCATAGCAAATAGCAAATTTATCCAAATTGTAGCAAAATAGAAATCAGAGAAAGTTTACATAGGAGAATATATACTGGAAAATACAGGGTGAAGGAACTCTTGCATTGGGATTGAAACAATTCAGCTCAACTAAGACAGAATCCTTGATCTCACCCCAGGGGAAACTCCCTAAAGTCTCTAGGGCAGCAAGCTGATGATAGGGACATGATGGAGACTATCAGCTCCTCTTATGTTTTCCCAGGCTTTTCCTTCAATAATCTTGTCTAGGGCTGACCTTTTCCATCTTCTTTCTCAAGGCTAGAAGCCAGAAGTGTCTACAGCAATTTAAAACTTGAAGAGTCGCAAAGAAGACTGAAGAAGTCTGGAGCTCTTGCACTCTCAACAACTCCACCAAACCCCTTTTGTAGGGCAGGGTGTTTGCTTCTGCAAATAAGGAGAGTGTCCCACACCAATGAGCTTTGGAAGAGGAGTTACATTCCTTCCCTGGGCCAAAACTCTTTGCAATCGCTTGCAAAGATCAGCTGCAACAAGTCCAAAACCTGTAACTATACAGTATAAATACAAATATCAGTGTTTAAAGCAACAAGGATGATTTTCCCAGCATCTTGGGCAACCAACCTTTGATACTGTTGAAATTGAAATAAACAAATGCACATTAACAGCATATTAGTAGTAGAGGTCTATATCCCAAAGAGATCATAAAAAAGGGGAAAAGACCTCCACGTTCAAAAATATTTCTAGCAGCCTTTTTTGTGGTGGCATGATACTAGAAAATTGAGGGGATGCCCATCAGTTGGGGAATACTGAACAAGCTGTGGTATATGAATGTAACGGAATACTATTGTGCTGTAAGAAATGATGAACAGGCATATTTCAGAAAATTCTGGAAAGGATTGTATGAACTGTATGCAAAATGAAATGAGCAGACCAGGAAAACATTGCACACAGTACCTGCAACATTGTGTGATGATCAACTATGAATGACTCAGCTCTTCTCAGCAACACAATGATCTAAGACAAGTACAAAGGACTCATGAAGGAAAATGTTATCTACATCCAGATAAAGAACTGATGGACTCTGAATGCAGATGGAAGCGTAGTTTTTTTTTTACTTATTCTTTCTTGTAGTTTTTTTATCTGTTTCTTTTTTCACAACTGTGACTAATATGGAAATATTTTTAAATGATAACACACATATAAACTATATAAACTGCTTACCATTTTCAGAAGAAGAGAGGGGAGAGAGGCAGGGAGAAAAATTTGGAAATCAAAATCTCGTAAAAATGAATGCCAAAAATTTTCTTGACATGTAACTGGGGAAAAAATACAATACTAAAAAAAAAAACCCCAAAACCAGTACATGACAGTATACAGAGTATTACCTGAGAAGATAGCTACAGTGACAACATACCTCACTACATACAGGACATGTACATGTGTTATATATGTACATTTTGAAAGTATATGCATATCCCTAGTATATAGCAATCAGTCAAATGCAATAAGCATAGCTAACAAAGCAAAACTGACTAGCTGTGGTAACACATTAATAGGCCTGCATGTAAAATACAACTTAATTATAAGCATTAACATATATGCAAAATAATTAACAGTCATTACTACACCATGAACATAACACAAGATAATCAAATAAACATAAGAGCAAAATAAAACAAACATATGCTTAAACATATATTAATTCACATGTATAGCAGTAAGCATAACCAATTATATGCAAGGTGCTTTTTACATGGAAATTCTCTAGCATTGTTACCTAGAGAGGCATGTTTAATTATATCCTCAGTTTACCTGTAATATCAAAACTCAGCTTAGTAACTGGTTTAATAGTTCTCTGACTGATCTTTCAGCTCCTATACCAGAGCTAGTAGCTGGAATGGGCTGACCATCAGGACCATTATAGACTTGTGTCTCTACTCTTGGGCTAATGACCATTTCAGATTGACTATCAGTATTTTCAAGTTCTGTGGGTTGAATCTGTACCCTTGGAAAATTTGTAGTAGGTTTGGGCATGACCAGAGTTGCTTTTGGGTTCAGTTCTACTAACATGTAATAATATACAATTTCCTTCACTGGATTTGTCATTTTCAGTGCCCATATCTGATTCAGAAAGTCCTTTTTTTTCCCCCTTAGGCTGTTCAGGTTAAGTGACTTGCCCAGGGTCACACAGCTAGTGACTATCAAGTGTTTGGTCCGAGACAAGATTTGAACTCAGATCCTTCTGGCTTCAGGGCTGGTGCTCTATCCACTGTGCCACCTAGCTGCCCCCAGAAAGTCTTTGTACAACTGGTGGACAGTCTTTTCCTCAGCCTTTTCCTAGGTTATTGTCCATCAGTTCTCTCCACTGGTTCATTAGAAAGTTCAGCTAACTTTCTTATGGGCAATAGGTAACAGTAGTAAATAGTTCTGAAAGGGTCCCCTCCATTCTCAGGGGCTATTTTGCAAATAGTCTCTCAATTGCTTTTTATGGGTTAGCTTTCCAACAGTCAAGTTGGAAGTAAGTCCCTGGACAAACTGAAAGCTGGCTTTTCTTTGTCTTCCTCACACATAAGAATCTGGTAGTATTCACTATCTAAATCCAAGACGGAAAACTGTTGGTTGTCTAGCAGACAATTCGGGGTATCTTTTACCTGTGGCATAGTATACTGGTCCACTTTAGTCCCTTTTGTTCAAAGTTCAGTAATAAACACCCAACTGTATCTTTCCATTCTCCTTAGGTACCACAACTATGGGTGATGTATAAGGGCTGCCAGCTTCAGTGATGATGCCATGAACTAGCATTTCTTTTCAGATGGTTTCTGAGGTCTTCCATAATAGACAGAGGAATCCTCCTAGATCTTTCTCTGAAGGATCAGGAATCAGTGAACTTTACTTGGTGTGTTAGAATTTGAGCACATCCCACATTCCACTCATGCATTGAAAACACACCTGTCCCCTTGCTGAGTTCCAGCCTCAACCTGTCTTTCCATACTTGTGGTGCTAGAGAGTTCCCAAAGCCAAATGCCTCAGAAACCAGTTCAGAGGATGAACAGTTGGGCTCCTGCGATGTTCATGGGAATCTCTTGCCTCTATCCTCTAAGTAAGTCTTTGCATAGTCTACATCCATAGTCAGGGTGTGATTCACAGCCCTTTTCTTTATTTAGTTCTTTTTTATTCTCTGTATTTCTCATGGACCTAAAACTTTTGAGCTACCTATTTTGGGCTTCCTATTCTAAAAAACAGTTGAGCTAATGACTCAAAGACCCTTAAGTCCTTGATTCAGTCACTATTTATCTGGCACCCCAAAAGTGCAGAGATATTTAAAATATGTAGATAAAAAGACACAAGGAATTTATTGTCCAATAGGGAACAAGGATATATGTGTAGTACCCCTCCCAGAGACCAGTAAGAATGTTAGAGTTGGGAGCCAAATAAATGCAGGAATTTAATCTCTGGATACCAGCTTCACACTTGCTTTGAGAAACATGGTAAAATTCTATAGTTGGGGGCAAGAGAACCAAATGCTTAACCTGGAGGTGGTGAAAAACAGCAGGGGCTTGAGCCAGGTCAGCATCCCAGATGAGGTCCTTATGCTAAACATTTCCACTGAGGGCACAGTGAAGAGGGCACAGAGGAGGAACCCTGATAGCTTGGGATGTGATGAAAAGGGGGACAGTCCAGCGATGCATAGTACAAAGCTAACATGTAGTAATATTTTTTATTTGTGCAATTGACTTAGGGATTATCCACACACACACACACCCATCTTTTCTCTGAGAAAAAGGAGGGGAATCTATTCCCATATACGAGTCCTTCTTCTCTTTGCTTTATCCATTCCCCAATGGAGAATTTCTTCCTCTTTTCCCAACCCCATAAATGAAAACTATGTGGCCCAGTTCAGAACTGTTATCTCTTTAATAATACAACTTTAAGTTTTCTTAGTACGTAATTGATATTCTGCTAAAAGTTGGATAGTCATTAGAGTCTGAACCAATTTTGCTTATTTAAATGTATGTAGTGAGATTCAGTAAGGAGGGAAAACAAAGCCAGAAAGAACGCAGATTTAAATTATTGAGGTTTCAGATACACCATTTAGATTTTGACAGTACAAACTGATTGAGCATTAGAACCACATGTTTAACTGAAATTAGAGTGCATTAAAGGGGAAAAGAGAACAATTTGGGGGACCGTAATTACTCAAGATGTGACCAGTAAAAGAAAGATACTCTCCTAGACATAGGTAGTAAAGCAAGCTGGTTCAGAAAGAACAACCATTTTAGCACATTGGGCTTGATATATAAGTTTCAAACCCCAAATGGAAGTGGGAAGTGAGTCACTGAGAAAGAAAGACATGCCTCCATGAAAAGGAAAAAGAATGAGTTCTTTCCTTGAGCAAGCTAGGGGATTGTTAACAGCCTAGCCTCCTTTGTTTGCAAGCACAATCTGACGTATTTTACATATATATATCATCAGCAAGACTGGCCTTATAAGTAGGAAGAGAAAGTAGTTGCTGATACAGATAAGTTGGGGCAGAGCTGCCCACTCAAAAGCACTGTCACCATATCTGAAATTACAATGTTATATATTCTTCCCTTTGGGCATAAAAAACTTCATAGAATCTCAGACTTGGAAGGGACCCCAGAGTACTGCCCTTAGACCCAAGCAGGCCCTACCCTGGCTCATGCTTTGGAGAACCTTATTCTCATCAAATGCACAATTATTAAGATAAATATGAAAAGTACAAAATAAAACAATATCATTTATGAATGACTTGAACAGCCAAACACATGCTGCCTTATTTGGTATAGCATATGGAAACATCCAGATAAAGCTAAATTAAGCCCAGCAATTTTTCTGGATCATGTGCTGTGAAGGTAGTATGAAGGAGGTAGAAATGTGTCAGTGGTGAAGTGTGGCCAGCTACTGGACACCATTTGACACATCTATGCTTCAGACAAGGTCAGCTCCACTCTCAGCTCTGTCAGATTGAGCTAACTGGGGCTTCAGAAGCTACTGCATCTGGTGCATGAGGTGAGGGTAGAAGGGAGGAAAGCAAATTTTCAAGATTCTGTGAAACTTGTGGAAGGGTTAGACTGGACTTAGGCATCTGCCAAGAGCTAAGTCTGAGGAGAGACCATATACTAAGGACTCAGTTGCAGGTCCTGGCCTCTGTATGACTTTCCCTTATCCCAGGACTCAGATTAACAAAGCACTCTGGGATCACAGAAAAATGACATGGCCCAAGACATCTTGGATGTTCTCTTCAACAGCTGATGAAGTGGGCCCAAAAGTGAAGTGATCTCTCCTGATGGGGGTGGCAACTGAGGGGCGCAAACCAGGAATCCACTCTATAGTCTCTG